TTCTTCTCTCTCTCTCTCTCTCTCTCTCCCTCTCTATCCACCCTCTCTCTCTATTCCCTCTCTCTCTTCCTCTCTATCCCCCCTCTCTCTCTATCCCCCTCTCTCTCTATCCCTCCCAAAACTCTCTCCTACCTTTCCTCTCCACCATCAGACAGACAGGCACAGAGAAGATGACGTATGACGTGTTCCCAACCAGAGCCAACCGAGCCACCGACCCGTCCGTCCAATCAAACGCCGCCTTCAGAGACTGTGTGATTGGGCCCCATGTGCCCCAGTTCAAACCCTGGAAAGGTATAAAAATGATTAATTGAAAATCAAGAATATTATTTTTGATAAGCGTCTTGCTTCCGGCACTTGCAACACAATTAAATCATGTAAGTGTTGAAGTTTTACAAGATAGAAAATATTTGGGAAAAAAAGGAGAGAGAAAGACGATAGGTATTAGATAGGGGGGGAAAAGGAACAAATTACACCATTGCACCGGCCAACCACTCACAATAAATAACTTAAAACAGTCAAATTTAAAAAACAATAATAACAACTACCATAATAACAATAACAACAACAACTACTACATATGTTGTTGTGGATTTTGAAAATGGTGTCAGTTCAACGCCGCTATCAATACTGTTCGGTTATTTAACGTCCATCTCCGAAAGGACCAAACCCCGAACCCTATTCCCAAGATTATGGGTACGGTAGCCTTACCACTAGGCTACCGACGCGTGAATTTTGATAAACAAAGACCTAAATTTCTTTTTTTTTAAATTAAAACGGCCGCGTGGTCTGGAACAAAATGTCATTTTAAAACATTATTTTGTGTTAGTGCTGTGAACACCCATTGAAGCACCTAAATGTTAAGCTTATAATATGACCTACAGTTTAGACTACTCTGTATTACTCGAGTGAAAGGAAAAGTGTAACGACTAGATTTTACATACAATCAAAAAGTGGTACCTTTCTTTCGACCCCCAGTATAGTACAGTCGTGAAAGGATCAAAGTTTTTCCTTTCTTAATTTGGCACGATAATAATATGTTTCAATTCTTTTCAGGAAAGCATTGTGTTGTGTGTCTTGATAGCTTGGACCATGTCTTTTCTCTGGATGTAGATCTATGTGTTGTGGAATTGTGACATTTCGGAAGCTAATACTGGCTTACTGTACAAGGACAACATGGTAGCCTGGAGCCGTGTACACTGTTCGTGTTGCAAGAATATAAAAAAAAGTATAATTAATATCGTGTAAAGACTTGAAATATGGACAAATATTTTAATTTAAAATGGAGCAAAATGTAAAATGTTCTGCGTGGGGATATAAAAGAGGACACAAAGTGATCCTAACAAAGAGAAAATCTCTACAGCCCACGGGTTTTTACGAATGTGAAAGACACAGAGACTGTCGCAGTTTTTGTTTGTTTGTTTTGTTTTGGCTTTTTCCGTAGATTTTAGTTCATGAAGAAAATGGCTCTGCTGTAATTTGTCTTCTCGTGGTTTCGTTCTGGGGACTGGCCTGTTCTTCATATAATTTTTGAAAAAAATCTGTTGTCATATTTCAACTGTCAGCTTTTTGTGATTGAGTGAGACCCGGACTAGTAGAGTAATATTCTAGTTAAAGAACATTATCAATATCAGCGTGACTTGGTGGTGTTCGTTGGGGATAGAATTTGATAAGCTAGTGATCGTGTACATTGGCGGGTGCTTGCGTTTACCAAGCGCTAAGCCAGAGGCGATGAGACACTACCAGACGGCGTTCATCTGTTCACAGTATGTACAATACGCCTTTATTATGCAGTTGAGAGTGCCGTAAAACATTTTCCAAAATAAGGGTATCAGACTTTGGCTAATGTGAGTTGAGGCGTGAGTTGAAAAAAGTTTACGTACATCTTCAGACCCATCTAAATGTACACGGCTAAAACCTGAGGATTCACCCTATATTAGGCTTGGGAAATAAGCCATACTATGGAAATACATGGGCTGCAAAGCATTTCATGCGTTTTTCTCCAAATATCAAAAAGGAACATAAAATATGTGAGGTGAGCTGAGAAAATGAGTTACTCGTACTTCTCGCAATTCACAAATGGAGATATTGGACTAAAAATCGACACTTGGGTCAAATTTGTAGATTTTCTGATGATGTCCTGCTATTTGGGAACACCAGGTTTTTACTATTTTATACTTATAAAGTGTTTTAAAAAACGCACCCTATAAGCGTGATGTATCTATTTCCATAGGGCTGGAATCCAAAAAACAAAAAAAACCTCATTTTGTCAGCACACTTCACATATATTGTTTTCTAAATTCTCATAAATGAACATTTTAATTTGCTTGTACAAAACATAGATGGAAACTCTCAACATTGAAGATGTTAAAACAGTAATACAGAAATGCTAATTCTTTAGTAGGTTTGACCAGTCGCGCGGGTGGTTGAAGGGCGCCCCTGGCAGGTTCTACTTCTTTACTTTCCTTTCGGCGTTTCTATTCTGCCGGTCTTACTTTTTTTTCCAGCACTAACTGACCATTATTGTGTCGGTGTGCTTCTCTTTACTGAATACAAATGAACAAATACTCGTTCAAGGTTGACGGGTTCCTCAAAAAACATTAAAATGATTATGTTGATTTCCCTTTTTTTTTGTAACAGAGTCTGTGGTATATTGGTTATACTCACTGGCCGTCTGCACAGAAGAAATATTCGATTCTCGCGTGGGGGGAAATATTTCAATGAGTATTTTACGTTTTTCAAACCGTATGCAGTAACTCAGCCATTCCGTATTGATGATAAAAGGTTAGATTATAACAGTTCACCTGCTAACTGACTAACTGATGATTATTTCTGTCTATCTTGCTATTTTCCTGCAGTAAATGATCCTCATTTTATCTTTGTGCTTCTATTTACTCGAACGCATGCTTACACAAAGCTTCTCTATTTTAATTAATGACTCGTGTAGTCACATGTTAGGAAAACAACAACAACAAAAGTAAATTTTAATGGAAATAACGACAACAGCAAGTGCATCAACAACGACGACGACAAACAACAATAACAACAACATCAGCAATAATTTCAGCAACAACAACAGCAGCAACAACAACAACAGCAGCAACAACAACAACAACAACAACAACAGCAGCAACAACAACATCAGCAACAACAACTACAACAACAACAACAACAACAACACAACAAGAAAACAACTCACCTGCAAGAGGGCGCTGAGACAGAACAGAAATAGAACGTACCACCGCCGCCGATACACTTTGATTTCGTTTCGGCTACACAGCAACGGTGTCCTTTCGTCATCGACAACGCCATAGCTGTTGTCTTCTGAAGATGTAGCATGAACCCTCTCCATACTCTGCTGAGTAGAAGCACCAACTTTGATGACGTCATTCTTCATTCCGCGAGCGGCGGCGGTTACTACGGGAACGTTGGCAGAATGTTCTGACGTCACAGATGGAGTGATGGAGCCAGACGGCTGAGTCGGCGGAGCCTGCTCGTCCACCATTGGGCTGTCGTATCGGATGAGAGTAGGGCTATGAAGAAGTTTGGTTGAAGGATTTTTCGGCGCTTTTTGAGCGAACGCACTTTCATCAGTTATGCCAGAAATGGAAGGCCGAGTCTTGGAAACAGAATTATCTCTGCTGTCTTTGTGGGTAGAGTTTGTGCATGGGGAGGGAAGAGAAGACAAGATATGACGCGGTTGTGGAACTTCTGGTAGGCAGCCAAGTTGTTCTGTCTCTTTGCTACGTAAATGTTTCCTTTGAGAAGAAGAATCGGGAGCAACATCGTTGTTTGTATTGTAAGCTCGTGTCTGTGCGGCCTCTGTGCTGTTGCTACCCTTGTTTAACCCACCTGACACGCGCAGCGAGTGTGTAGCGCAGGTGTCTCCTGCTGTATGTAATAAGTCATCCTCATCCCTAAATGTGTTCAACTCATTCTCAGACATATTATAATGAAACTCCTCATCAGAGCTGGCCTGTTGAGCTGACTGGGATGACTCACAAGACTCACCATTAGACCCGATTGCAGTTTCTGATTCTGAAGAAGCGATAGATCCAGGCGAACTTTTCGAATCAAATCGTTGCTGCTCCTCAATCTGAGGAGACCTCACACTGTCTGAATCATCTGGCTTCACGGCGTTTTCTTTTTTCTCAGAAAATCCTGGGAAAACGTTCGTCGAAGAGGGAGAGACAATTTTGCTCTCCGAAACATTGGATGGTTTCAGATCATCATCATTTTGTTTAGGGTCTATTCTTTCAGCATGACCCAATCCATCAGTCACTCTACCTGCTCTTGCAACACTATCCACATCATCCACCAAATGGTCATCTGTTTGCAGCACACCGGCTACCAAACGTGCACTATCAGCATCTAGCTGAGGAATGACGGAATCCGAACTATCGACAATAAAACGACTGTTTGTATCTTCAGGGTCACTGACCTCACATAACTGTTCTTTTACTCTTCCGTCCGTTTCTTCCGGTCCGTGAATGACTTTTGTATCTGCCCCTCTGATAACCTGACTTCGAGGACGAGGACTCTCGTCACTGTTTTTATCCACCTCTTCTGATAGTAGTGCGATATCGGAGTAGAAACCATCCCTTTCGCTCGTTTCTGAACTAGTTTCTATTGGAGCGATTTTGTTAGTCAGAGTCCTCCCTTCTCGAGGACAATTTTCATTCTTATCCTCGTCGCCATCATCGTCTTCATCTCTTGACGTTTCACCGCCGTGTACGTTGTCAATAAAATCTATAGGGAAACGATTAACTTCAGACTTATTACCTTCGTAATGAGGGAATCGCTCACGATCAGAGACTAGATGATGGGCCGGCCCTTTTTCTTCTGCCCAAGAACCGGGAGTAGCGTCGAAAAACCTCTCGCTCTCCAGGCTGCCCACTGCGACGTAAGCGTCCTGAAATGCGTCTTCTTCTGACGAGCTCATAATGATGACGTCACAGTATCTCTTTGTTAAAGGACCCACGGAGTCTCTTGCCTGGGACGTCCCAAAATCTCAAGATATGTATTTGCCGATGACGTCACAATATCTCACTATACTCCTTTGCTGATGACGTCACAATAACTCGCGATATTTCTAGGCCGATAATGTCACATTACAACTCGATGATGACGTCGCAGTAGTATAGTTAGGAGATGACGTCAAAACATGTCTTCGCTTCACAGAAAGAATACTTCTGCTTCACAAACTGTGGAATAGAAAGAGAACAAGACCTGAAGTTGTACACAAGGTACTTTGGTGGTGTTTCGTTGTTTTTCTCTAGTCATCCTTTATTCGCTCTTCTGTATCTAGCTAATGGTTACGGGTCGCCACTAGTAGATCCCACTTTTAAAAAAAAAAACAGTCATTTTTCGCTGGTGGCTGGTGGGTGCAGCTCTGGTCTGGTCTGGTCTGGTCTGGTCTGGTGTGGTGTGGTGTGGTGTGGTGTGGGTTTTTTTCTTCTTTGCTATCAAACAATTATTCGTCTTTATCTCTTTCCCTTCTTTTTGGTGTTCGTTACTTTTTTGTAACACTTCCAATCTTCGGTACTTTTATGACCTTATTGTGTTGCAAGTGCGTTAAAACGTTTACTAAAAATAAAATAAACTATAATTGTCTATTTCCAGTAATTTTCACCTGTGTAAGAATAACATAATTGTGTAAGTTCATCTATCCATAGCATGTGTAAGTATGTGTATGTATTTGTGTGCACGTTTTTTTATTATTTTTTTTATTTGTTTGTGTTTGCTTGTTTTATTAGGGGGGGAGGGGTATTGACATGTAAGTGAACATGTATAGTATGTTTCTCTTTGTGGAGAGCAATGAAATGGTATCTTATCTCATCTGATCTTATTGTGTGTCTACGGGTCTTGCTCTTTCTGAGCTTTAAATGGCGGTTATCATATCCATTTACCTCTGTTTAAATAGTAATAATAATTGATAGCGTAGCGCAAATTCCCCGCTCAACACCAAGCTCTATGCGCTTCACAATCTACAGTTTTTACTCACATGACATTTATGCTACAAGCACATAATTATAGTTCAGCCATTAACATGTACTCTGCCTTGAATACGCTTCATTTTTTTTTTTAAATGGCATCAAACTGGCGTCTGCCGTGATGTAGTGGTTAGACACTTCGCCCTCGCACGCAAAAGATTCAAATTCGATTCCCGTTTGAGAAGAACCTTTACTGAGTACCTCGGGTCTTTCTGTTGGAGTTGGCCCTGCATGACACGCAGTGTCAAAGCCTGCCTCCTATGCTATGTAAATGTGTCACGGCACGGTGGAATCAGGCGTTCGTCAATTTTAGACTTGATAATTATGGGGATTTTCTTAAAAAGATTGTTCATTTATCTTGCTTTGTATGAAAAAAAAACCATCCTTCAATCTTGAATAGAATTCGAAATATTTGTAATTGAAGGAAGTGAAGATCGCCTGGGGTCAGGAGTGATATTAGTTAGAAAACGTCCGCCAAAGTTTGGTGACTTCCAGAGCTCTAGTGCCCTCAGCAACGGCAAATTTACACGTTTGTATTGATTTGATCAACATTTTAAAAAGAAAAATGCAACACGAAAAATAACGGGTTTTTAAATGAGAATAAAAGGTGTGCAAAACACACAAAAATTGACGGCCGAGCGAAAAAATGTCGGTTTCTTCGATACCCATCGTCTGACGAGCGCCTGATTTCAACATGTATTATTGGGGGCCTAAAACACGTACATTGAAAGAAAAAAAAACACACCAAAAACCAAAAATAACAACTCACTCTCTTTCCTTAGAGACGATGACAGCGCGCAGGGAATCAGAACATCCACCATGATGTCGGGCCCACCATTTGCTGTTTTTTCGTTTTTCTTCCAGATGCACCACTGTGTGCCATTCGCAGCATCTTTAGAGAGAATATAAAAATTAGGTACTTTTTGTCAAACTAATAGAAAGAGTATGATTTTCAATCAATCAAGCATTCAATTAATCAATCAGTCAATCAGTCAGTCATTGTTTGTTTGTTGTTGTTGTTTGGGGATTTTTATTTTATTTTTTGTTGATTTCTGTTTGTTTGTTTGTTTCGTTTTGTTGTATGTTTTGGTTGAGGTTGGCTTTTTTGGGGGGGGGGGGGGGGCTCTTCGCCCATCTGGCTCGATCCTATCTAAAATGGTCATTAGATCCAGAGGTCTCGTCGCCTTTTAAATATATATCCATAGAGTGTTGAAAGGAGTTAGAGCTATATACAACCTGCAATTTAAAACACGCTGTAAGAAAGGATTGTGCTGTCTCGATTCAGCTAACAGACCCTGAGTCAAGTACATCTATAAACGTTTTATCTACTTCATTCCGGTTTTAAAAAACATTTTTGTTTGTTTGTTTCGATAAAATGTGTTTTCCCAAAAGAACTTTACTTGTTCGTGATCTTGATAGGGGCAATATCAAAGAAAGTTCTGTTATTGGGAACGCAACGACATGGAGAGTGAGATTTTTTTATTTTTTGGGGGAGGGGGGGAGGGGAGGGTAAGGAGCATGACATGTAAAAGACAAACAATTTCTTTTGAAAAAAGCTAGTGTGCTCACAACCCCCTCACCTCCTCCTCTCTCTCTCTTTCAAAGACATACACATAGGTACATACACAAACAAACACACACACACACACACACACACACACACACACTCACGCACGCACGAACGCAAACAGAGTGGGAGGGAGGGAGAGACACATGAACACGCACACACAAACACACACATACACACACAAGCACACACACACACACACACACACACACACACACAGGGGGGAAGGGGGTTATAATCACCGCGAAATTTGTATTATGCATGTATTCGTTGACCCGAGACTTGGTCACGTGACTGTGTGTATGTGCTGTCTTTGTTAGTGTAGGTGTCATGTGACTGTGTGTGTGTGTACTATATTTGTGGTGTTGTTGTCATGTGTATGTGTGTCCTGTCTTTGTGTTTGTGTGTGCTGTCTTTGTGTTTGTGTTGATATGTGACTATGCATGTGTGTGCTGTCTTTACTTTGTGGTGTTGTTATTTATAAGAGTGTGTGTATCTGTGTGTGTGTATGTGTGTGTGTGTGTGTGTGTAAAACTCTGTATGAATGTGCTGTCTTTGTGTTTGTGTTGACATTTGACTGTATATATGTGTGTATGCGTGTGTACGTGTGTGACTGTATGTGCATGTGTGTGTGCGTGTGTGTGTGTGTGTGTGTGTGTGTGTGT